GTCAGTCTGGAGAACTTCCCCAAATCGATTAAAGTTATAGCTTGGCTCTTTTCTATTCCCATTCATTTTGATATTATTTCAATGGAGAGTTTAGAGAATAAATCTCCAATGTATTAAATGACGAATGATGTGATAGATTCTCAGTTATCTCCACTTCAAATACCTCTTCAGCAATTCATGTTTGACAAGGTTTCTCGGGAATGATTGTTCAGAATTCCACGTGAAATCAGTGGGAACCACATACGGTGAAGATTGGAAAAGTTTGGTTTATTCAATAAAGTCCAAACGCATTTTAGATTAGAAAAATGTGATAGAAATCACCAAACCGCCTTCAGATTTTAATATTAGATATTTATTAAAGGGGATCTCCAGTTATTATCACCAGATACGCACAGCTCATTTGGTGTAATTCAATGTTTGGTTTAAATCATCAAATCCCAGCATTGTTACTGGATTGGTTCTAACTAATGCAGCGGGATTCACATTAGCTATGTATATGTACGTGCATTTTGCAGGTATTAGTAGAGACATACACAATATGTGACAAGCTGCGAATAGTTAAAACCTACATTTATAAAATATAATACGAAATAAATACATATATAGCATTAAACACATGGGTGCCCTTAGATCCTATATTAACCAGTAGAAATCTCCTGCACCACAGACAGCAGTGCATGGGTTAATTACAGAGTGGGTGGCATGATCTATTATTAACCCTTAAACTGCTGTGTCGTTCCATTTACCTACTCTAGAACTAGTTGCTGTCTTTTCTGTAATTGTTGTAAAGTGTTAATCATATTTTGCTGACTGACCGAGTGCAATACATTCATGTCTTGCTTTATTCGGAGACAAATGTTGTGAATGATGTTTGGATTTTTACCACCAAATTGCTCTAGATTGGCCCAAATTATTTATGTAATTCTGGGTGGAATGACTAAGTCCAGTATTTATTGAATAACACGACTTTCTCTGTCCATGGGAGCTGCAAACTCTGAGTTTTGTGAATACATTTGTAAAATAGAGAATGTGAGAAATTAGTGGCCCAAATCACATCGCCACGATGGAGCTTTACTAACAGAAGTGTTGGTGTTCAAGTAGAACTTCTTGTGAACTCCTGCAAATTCATTTAATCAACTCATGTTTGTTAAAGTGAAACTACAGGTGGTTATTCTTAGTAAACTATATAAAAAACAATTCTAAAACGATTGTCATCTACTGGCATTAATTGTCACATTATCTCAAACTATCAGTAATGGAAAATTCTACCTCTACATATTGAAGATAATCGAACCATTTACAAAAACTTGTGCATGTACACCATGTGACGCTCACATCCTACCTGTACGACATGCTGTCATTCCCTCCCTATGCCAGAATGGGTGGTCATACTATGAACTATTCTTTAACTTTCTACGTCTAATAACATACCTCACAAATGCCCCTGTTTAGGAGAGACAGTTCCTACTTTGAGCCCAAATCCTTTTCTATCTGATGTTTCTGTGATGACGCCTATAGGTGGGCGCTCAAGAGAAAATATATTGTAAGAAATAAGGCTGGAATTCTAGAAAGAAAGAAAAACAGGAATTATATTTTATCACGGTTATTGATGAGAATTTATGGTGAATTCAAAGCGAATGTAAAATGTAAATAGTGCGTTACAACGTTACAAATCAGATTTGGCAGCAAATAAGAGATAAACGATTACAAATGTTATCAGTAAGAAGAGACTCAAAAAAGGCACATCTAGAGAGAGATAGTCATTCACACAACTGGGAATTGACCTGATCCGAAGAAGGAGTTGACAATATTAGGATAAAATAGTAAATAGGGGTATATTCACTAAACATTAATAAGAGGTGAATTGAAAACCGAGCTGCTAAATTCATTTTAATATAACTAAACGCTGACTATCAGGGAGTTGGAGAATGTTTCCAAATCAGATGGTTTTATCCGAAGAATTCAATGTTAATTTAATAATCTCCAGTTGTAAGTTAGACAATAAGATAGATTCTTTATAAAACAGTCCAAGAAGGAAGAATGTGTTTGTTTATCACACATTTTGTGACATTGCTGCAAATAGAAGCACAAAAAAAACAAGCTCTCAGGCCATTGGGGTCTGCAGAAAGTTTTTCAGGGAGCAAATATCAAATCTCTACAGTCACCCCATTATCTCAGCCTTTATCATTTCATATTCCAGCCCATGATCATATCATAGCTCCTCCATGATGTTATATCATATTAATTCTATGATCCAATATGTCATATCATAGCTCCTCCATGATGTCATATCATATTCAACCTACGATCCCATATTTCATATCATAGCTCCTCCATGATGTCATATCATATTCATCCTACGATCCCATATTTCATATCATAGCTCCTCCATGATGTCATATCATATTCATCCTACGATCCCATATGTCATATCATAGCTCCTCCATGATGTTATATCATATTAATTCTATGATCCAATATGTCATATCATAGCTCCTCCATGATGTCATATCATATTAATTCTATGATCCGATATGTCATATCATAACTCCTCCATGATGTTATATCATATTAATTCTATTATCCGATATGTCATCGCATAGCTCCTCCATGATGTCATATCATATTCATCCTACGATCCCATATGTCGTATCATAGCTCCTCCATGATGTCATATCATATTGCAGCCCATGATCCCATATGTCATATACAATTAACATTTCACCCCAATGTTCCATACAACATATTTAATCGCATTATCCACTATGACTTACACACACCCGTTGTTGTTTTCATTCCAACCCTAGTGATGTCACTGCATGTGCATAATTACTGATCAGCGCTCTTTGGATGATGCTTTGAGACTGCACTTGTTATAGAGATATATTGCTCGTGCGCCTAGATTGCCCATAAGCGATTGCTCATTTAGTGAGAACTTGCCTATAACTAGCAATACTTGACTGATGGCTGACCTCAGTGGGCAGACACACAAGTAATTATCTGGGTTTTGCCTTTTTTTTAATTTTTAAAAAGGAGACTCTGTCCACAAATATCAAGCCCACAAGTAAAATACAATATAAACATTACTAATTGTGACAGAACCATCTGTCTGCTGGATTTTTGCCCCGTTCGTCTGTTTGTCCCCCGTTCGTATGAATGGCTGGTTTCTATAGCCCAGCCATTCGAATGACTCTTTTTCCCGAACAAATCTGCCGAACGAACGGCCACCCAAGTGAGGAGTGTGCTGCTGGTTAACAAAGTGATCCCAATTAGAACGTTGTGGTTAACCGCAGACACTTCTCAATTAAACCGAACTCAGGGTGGTCGTCGTTCGTATGTCGACCACGAGGCAGCGGCCATTTTAAATCATGCGAACGCCAGCGGTGTTTGGCTCTATTTCTATGGAACTGAAAACGGACACTTTTTCTGCCGAACACCGCTGAAACAAGGGAACGCCTGGCTGCCTCCACGAAAGCATGCGAACACCGGCCGTTCGGGAGATTGAGAGCATACAAAAGACTTAACCCAGATAGCCCTCCCATGGAGTCATTCGTATACTGAAAGACTGTAAGAACTTTGACTCCATGGCGATTGAACTATGTGTGTGGGATCTGAGCGCTATTCGCTAATAATATGCACTCAGATCCAGGCTATCTGGAGACATGTAATACTAACGGGAAATGTTCAGTTTTCATGTAGTTATGTATTGTTATGTCTTTTATTATTTTATGTTTAAGATGGCGACTGTCCTTGTCCTGGAGTTAATTGAGTTACTTGGTAATTAACTCCAGGGCAGAGGGGAGGGAATCATAATGCACTGTGTGTAAAATATGTGACTGTGTGTCTAAAATGTCCCTCTATCTGTCTGTAGTTTAAGTCTCCCATTTGGTCCCCTAGGGGAGTGTCCACCAAGTGGGAGACCTGCATAAATACGGGCAGGTAGCCCACAGTAAAACCAGATTCTGTTTGACCCTCAATGTGGAGCTTCTGTCTCGTTATTGGGGGGATTTCTTCTTCACGTTTAGAGACTGCTGGATGGAACGAAAGCCGCTTTGGGGATATTACTGTTCAACGGTTACCAGCAGTTCGTATATTGCCGTTCGGGAGTTTGGAGCCGTTCGTGGATTTCGATCGGGAGATTGCCGCTTCCCCTGCATTTGGTTCGTGTGTTACAGAGTAAGCGAACGGAGACTGTACTGCAGCCGGGGAAGGTTTACTAAACGGCGGTTTTGCCTAAAGACACTGGAGGTGTCTTAACAATTGGTGGCAAGCGACGGGATGAATCCTACAGCACTGGAGGTCAGCTACAAGACATGCAGTACGAGGAATTAAGGCGTGCTACACTTAAGGACATATTGGAACGCGGAGGAAGGTCAGCAAGCAATTTAAAGAAACGGGAGATTATTGCTTTGCTAATGGAGATGGATGCAGCAACGGGAATGGAAAGAGTCAACGTGCCCAGTACCTTGGATTTAACACCCGAGGAAATACAATTTAACCGGGCAGTGCAAATAAGGCTGGCACATTTTGGCCCCAACCCCTCAGCTGACATCGTGGTTCGTGTGCAGGCAGCAGTTGCAGCACAGCAGGCGCTCCGGGAAAGAGGAGCTGCAGCAGCAGAGGTACCGTACGATAATAATGTGGTTGCTAGAAAGAAGGTACCTTTTGCTGCATTTAAAATTTTTGTGGAAACAGAGGGAGAGATTGATGGATTTTTAGCAGAGTTTGAGAGGCAGTGTGCGCTACATCAGGTACCTGCAGATGAATGGGTCACCATCCTCTCTGGGAAATTATCTGGCCGGGCTAGTGAGGCGTTTCGGGCCATCCCAGAGGAGGAGATCACCAGCTACCGGGCCGTGAAAGAGGCGCTCCTAGCCAGGTATGCGGTGACCCCAGAGGCGTACAGGCGGAGGTTTAGAGAAACCAACAAGCTGGTTGGGGACTCTTATGTGGAATGGGCCTGCAGCCCACTGGATGGCTGGATGCCAAGCGGTAACTGGGGAGGAGGTGTTACAAGTGTTCCTGCTGGAGCACTGTTTTGATAGACTACCTGCTGGGGTCCGGGAATGGGTCAGAGATAGAAAACCCTCTACCCTACCCGAGGCTGCCCGTCTGGCAGACGAATACACGGATGCCCGCAAGTTGGATGGTACAGCTGCTAAAGCCCCTGCCAGACTGGAGTATCGACCAGCAGTAATACCCGCTCCTTCAGTCTACCAACCCCCAGTACACCGTACCCCAGCCGCACCACCAGCTAACAATTATGTGCAGCCAGCCCGATTTAATGCCCGTGAGTATTCCCAACCCATCCGGTGCTTTGGGTGCAAGCAGTTGGGGCACAAGCGTCCTGAGTGCCCACTGAACAGTGCCAACCAGGCTCAGTCCTGGAGGAGACCAGTCAATGGAAACCAGCGCCCACCTCAGCCTGCTGCTCACTGCCTAGAGCAGGAGGAATTCTGGGGCATCCTACACGAGGCAGACCCAGTGCAAGCAGCTCACCAGGATAATCGCCAGCAACATCGGCAAACTGTGAAGCTGAATGGCAGAGTGGTAAATGGGCTGAGAGACACAGGAGCCACGATGACACTGCTCCAAAAGAACTTGGTCTCAGAGCATCAACACACTGGGGACACTGTGGCAGTAAGGGTAGCAGGGGGTGCCGTGTTTCGCTTACCTGTTGCCCGGGTACATTTGGATTGGGGAGTGGGCGCTAGACATGTGGATGTGGGGGTGATGAAGGACTTGCCCGCAGATGTTCTTCTGGGAAACGATTTGGCCCCTTTGGTTTCAGCCTATGCTCCGATGGGCCCTGCAGATGTGAACCCAGTGACCACCCGTGCCCAGACCCGTGCTGCCGGAACCAGCCCACTTGCTGATGAGACCCAGGTAAGATCTCCTTCCCCGACTGGTACCCCAGATCAGGTCCCCTTAAGCTGGGATTCCCCAGAGGAGTTTGGGAGGGAAACCCGGGCAGATCCGACCCTCCAAAAGATACAAAGACAGGGCAGATGCTGGAGAGGAAGGAATAGATGGGGAACGGTATGAGTGGGTGGGGGACAGGTTATATAGGATCCCTAAACCTTCCCAGAAGAGTGTTGCCTCTCCGCCGAATCGCCAGTTAGTGGTACCTGCTAAGTACCGGCAGGAGATTCTGCGGATAGGGCATGATGTTCCATTAGCTGGACATCTAGGGTCCCGCCGCACAGCCTATAGGATCTCACAGAATTTCTTTTGGCCAAACTTCAACCAGGCTGTGCGGATGTACTGCAGCACGTGTGACACATGTCAACGGGTAGGAAAGCGGGGGGACCACCCTAAGGCTAGGCTATTATCGATGCCTATTATAGGGGAGCCCTTTGCCCGCATAGCCGTTGATATCATGGGTCCACTGGCCAGGGCTAGTCCATCCGGTAAAAAGTATGTTCTTACCGTGGTGGACTATGCCACCCGCTATCCAGAGGCAGTAGCGCTGTCTAACATAGAGGCAGAGACGGTTGCTGACAGGGGCAGATCGTATTGCCAGGGGGCGATATCTGACCACCATAGACCTGTGTAAGGGCTACTGGCAGATCCCCCTGGCCGAGGATGCTATCCCCAAGTCACCCCATTTGGCCTGTACCAATTTAAGGTCATGCCTTTTTGGATGAAAAATGCACCGGCTACCTTCCAACGGATGGTGGATAGACTCCTGGATGGCTTCCAAGAATTTGCCTGTGCATACTTGGACGACATTGCGATTTACAGTGGGTCCTGGGAGGATCCAGCGGTCCTTTCATGTGAACATGCTGAAAGAGTACCAGGAGAGACCTGAGAATATTGCAGCAGTATGTTCCCCAGCTGCAGATGATTCTGAGAATCTACCCGTCCAGATCTATTAGAAAGGGATTCCCAGACTGACCTTACTACCTTGCTACAGCTAGGGGACCGGTTGAACCCCACAGAAAGGGTACAGGCGCAGCAGTTGTTATGGGAGAAGCAGGCGACGTTCTCCCAGGAACCAGGTTATACCACCCTAGCTGTGCATAAGGTAGAGACCCCTGGACAGACCCCGTTACGACAGCCCCCCTACCGTATCCCTGAAGCAGTCCGTGAAGGAATGCGGAAGGAGATACAGGAGATGACCCAACTTGGGGTTATCGAGCACTCCGACAGCCCTTGGGCCTCGCCTGTAGTCCTGGTGCCCAAGAAAGATGGGACCACCCGGTTCTGTGTGGACTACAGGCGACTCAACGAGCGGACCACCACTGACGCCTACCCAATGCCCCGGGTAGACGAATTACTAGATCGTATTGCCAGGGGGCGATATCTGACCACCATAGACCTGTGTAAGGGCTACTGGCAGATCCCCCTGGCCGAGGATGCTATCCCCAAGTCGGCATTTGTCACCCCATTTGGCCTGTACCAATTTAAGGTCATGCCTTTTGGGATGAAAAATGCACCGGCTACCTTCCAACGGATGGTGGATAGACTCCTGGATGGCTTCCAAGAATTTGCCTGTGCATACTTGGACGACATTGCGATTTACAGTGGGTCCTGGGAGGAACACCTGGTACATGTAGGGGTAGTGCTGGATAAAATTCGGGCCGCTGGCCTGACATTGAAGCCAGAAAAGTGCCATCTAGGTATGGCTGAAGTACAGTACCTGGGTCACAGAGTGGGGTGTGGGAGCCAGAGACCAGAGCCAGCCAAGGTAGAGGCAGTGGCTAACTGGCCCACACCTACTACTAAGACCCAGGTATTGGCCTTCTTGGGGACGGCAGGGTACTATAGACGTTTTGTCCCTGACTACAGCGCTATTGCTAAGCCCCTGACAGACCTGACAAAGAAGAACTTGCCTAAGCAGGTCCTGTGGTCTCCGGCTTGTGAAGCTGCATTCCAGGCACTGAAGCAGGCTCTTGTGAATGCCCCTGTCTTGGCTGCCCCAGTCCCTAACAAACGCTTTCTCGTCCATACAGATGCTTCCATGTATGGACTGGGGGCTGTGCTGAGCCAAGTCGGGGAAGATGGAGGAGAGCACCCTGTCGCATATCTCAGCAGAAAGTTGTTACCCAGAGAAGTGAGTTATGCGGCAGTGGAGAAGGAGTGTTTGGCCTTGGTCTGGGCATTGAAAAAGTTAAGTCCCTATTTGTATGGGCAAGAGTTTTCCCTTGTGACTGATCACAACCCACTCGTTTGGCTTAACCGGGTCTCAGGAGACAATGGGAGACTGCTGAGATGGAGCTTGGCACTACAGCCCTACAATTTTACCATCAGCTACAGACCCGGTAAGCTAAACGGAAATGCAGATGGGTTATCACGACAAACAGACGTTTCCATCACCTCGTAGTCCGGTCATCCCCAAGTTGACCCGCCACAGGGTCAAGCCGGGTCTGCCGGAGTGTCCCACAAGGAGGGAGCCGTGTGACAGAACCATCTGTCTGCTGGATTTTTGCCCGTTCGTCTGTTTGTCCCCCGTTCGTATGAATGGCTGGTTTCTATAGCCCAGCCATTCGAATGACTCTTTTTCCCGAACAAATCTGCCGAACGAACGGCCACCCAAGTGAGGAGTGTGCTGCTGGTTAACAAAGTGATCCCAATTAGAACGTTGTGGTTAACCGCAGACACTTCTCAATTAAACCGAACTCAGGGTGGTCGTCGTTCGTATGTCGACCACGAGGCAGCGGCCATTTTAAATCATGCGAACGCCCAGCGGTGTTTGGCTCTATTTCTATGGAACTGAAAACGGACACTTTTTCTGCCGAACACCGCTGAAACAAGGGAACGCCTGGCTGCCTCCACGAAAGCATGCGAACACCGGCCGTTCGGGAGATTGAGAGCATACAAAAGACTTAACCCAGATAGCCTTCCCATGGAGTCATTCGTATACCGAAAGACTGTAAGAACTTTGACTCCATGGCGATTGAACTATGTGTGTGGGATCTGAGCGCTATTCGCTAATAATATGCACTCAGATCCAGGCTATCTGGGGACATGTAATACTAACGGGAAATGTTCAGTTTTCATGTAGTTATGTATTTTTATGTCTTTTATTATTTTATGTTTAAGATGGCGACTGTCCTTGTCCTGGAGTTAATTGAGTTACTTGGTAATTAACTCCAGGGCAGAGGGGAGGGAATCATAATGCACTGTGGGTAAAATATGTGACTGTGTGTCTAAAATGTCCCTCTATCTGTCTGTAGTTTAAGTCTCCCATTTGGTCCCCTAGGGGAGTGTCCACCAAGTGGGAGACCTGCATAAATACGGGCAGGTAGCCCACAGTAAAACCACATTCTGTTTGACCCTCAATGTGGAGCTTCTGTCTCGTTATTGGGGGGATTTCTTCTTCACGTTTAGAGACTGCTGGATGGAACGAAAGCCGCTTTGGGGATATTACTGTTCGACGGTTACCAGCAGTTCGTATATTGCCGTTCGGGAGTTTGGAGCCGTTCGTGGATTTCGATCGGGAGATTGGTTTACTAAACGGCGGTTTTGCCTAAAGACACTGGAGGTGTCTTAACACTAATAAACAAGAAATAATTGCAAGGTAGCAGCCATGGGTTAATAATGATGGTTTCTGAGGTGTCTGCAGTAATGCCAAGCTTTCCTACTGGCCATGATGGCAGCACACCAAGAACAAACATAGTTTAGGTGGCACAAGGTGGCTGTAGGATGGCACAGCACCCAAAGATAAACTGCCAGCTGCCAGGGGGAGGTGGGAACGCTTATGACAGGACGGCTGATGGTGAACGAGTAAAGAATTTGGATTCATTCATGTCCCCACATATTCTTGCTGTTTTCAAGAAGTCTTGGAAACCACCAATGATTCATTTTGAGAATTTATATACACCCAGAGAAACAAAAACAGGAGCAATGAGACAGCACAAATGGATGCCACTCTTAATTTTCTTTAGATATTACTAGGTAGAGCCCCAATGCATTGTGACAAACATCAATCAGGAAAAATGTGGGAATGTCTCACCATGGAAGATCCAAGGAGGAGTTGCAGAATAACTTTGCATTTTATTTGACAGAGTGATATCTGCTTCTCAGTTTATCCCACCACGTACACAGAACCAATATCTGGATACATTGTAACAAGACCAGAAAGAAACCAGCTATATCGTAACGAATGTGTCCTGGTGGTTGAAACATTTTTGTTCAGGTCTTTGGTCAATTTTAATAACTCTATGTTAACATATAACATGAATAGATGCTAAACTATAAATGCAGTCTGTATTACCATTATCAATGGACA